AATCATGACAAAATAATGGCTAAAAGATATTGACTAGTATTTTGTATACCGGAGTCTACGATTCCTACATATATAACTTAGAAAATTATCCACGGGCACTCTAGTTGGGAGGAAAAATGATCAGACCATCAAGACAAATGACAAAACATCATCTGCTAGTTGTGGTGTTGTGCGCTTCCTGGCAAACTTTGTCCAACCATTTATGGTGGACAGGGCTAAGTGCTTGGGATTGTAAGTGCTTCTTTTTTTTCTTTAGGTAATCGATTAATCATGTGTGCCGAATCTATTCGCTCATTACTTTGAGGCTAAAAGGGCATAACCTAAAAATTGGAATAATACAACTAAGTCATAACTTTAAGGGAGTTTAAAAGAAGATTAATATATGGGTTTAGGGTTTAAATGTAGACATAATAAGACCAGATGGTGGGCCAATCATCTGTAATTGGCATCTGCTATATAACCAGTAAGAAAAATGGATCATTCCTAGAGTGGCTCTCACTTTAAATGTTCATCTTGTATTATAGTTGACCCTATTGTTCTGCAACCATGTTCAAAGAGCCACAACGTGATTCTTAGGCAAGTAAACCAAGCTAAACCTTCATTCTCCAAGTCTTTGAGTGAAAGGTCCCAGAGATTGAGTTGATATGAGCTTGGGTTTTTAGTGATTCATGATGAGAGCTTCAAGAAAGAGAAAGGCAGATCAAACTTAATCAATAATTTCAATATTCAACCATTTTAAACCAAACCCACAACAGATATTGCTACGTGTATAAAATTAAGGAATACCTTGAATAATTAAATTGCAATCTATATATATTAAAAATTACCTTCAAATATATAAATGCAAGTGCACAAGTCCCTCGAACAGATCGCCCAAAAACCTGGGCACAAAATAATTGAGTGCTGAATCCATTAGCTCGTTACTTTGAGACTAAAATGGCATAACATAAAAATTAGAATAATTTTGATTGAGTTATATTTATCTGGGATTCTAGAAATTTTGAAAATTGTGGAGTTGAAAAAGGCTGGGTTGACTTCAGTTCTCTCAAAGAATAGTGAAGGTACTATTCGGGGGAAGGGAACTTGTTCTCATGTGTCACATGTTGTGCCGGGGTTTAGCACATCGCGCCTGGGACACCCACTTCATCACATTAGCGTATGACCAAATGATTATCCCAAATATTAGATGGTCTATCGACTTCTCAAGTTGTGTGATGTTATGTACATATGAGAAAAAAAGAATTATACAATAAGTTAATTAATATATTTATAAAGGAGAAAAACAAAGAAATAAGCGTTTGCCTACCAGTTTTGGCCGATACTTTGCATATAATTCAGAAACATGTTCAATTCCCCATGCATTGCATTTGGATGGAAAAATGGTCACATTATTGTAACAGACACAATAACATCATTTGCAGGTGATAGACACATCATGGCAAATTTTTCCCGACCATTTATGATGTAGATATTTTTAACAGAAATATTAGTGTGTCCGCGAGAAGAATAATTCCCGTTGTATTAATGAGAAATATAATGATAGTATTATTTTCTTAACAATGAACAATATTACCAAATAAGGTACAATGAGTTGTTTTGATGTGCCACATGTTGGGTAGGGGCTTAGCACATTGCGCTCGAAATGACACTTCACGGTGGACATGTCCAAGTGCTTGGGATTGTAAGTGCTTCTTTTTTTCTTTAGGTAATCGATTAATCATGTGTGCCGAATCCATTCACTCGTTACTTTGAGGCTAAAATAACATAACATAAAAATTAGAATAGTACAACTAAGTCATAACTTTAAGAGAGTTTAAAAAAAGATTAACATATGTAGGTATTTATACCAGATGTGTCGCCACGTTCCGATTGAATCGAACGAAAGATGACGCGGTACGTTCATAGTTAAGAGGTATTTCATATTGGGTTGCATTAGCATCCCCATAATGCAGGATATCAAAGTAACTGATATCTCCACTCGGGATACACAATAAGGTATAATGAATTGTTTCGATGTGCCACATGTTGAGCAAGGGTTTAGCACATAGCACTCGGGATACCCACTTTGTCACATTGGCTTAGGACCAAATGATGATCCCTAATATTAGATGGTCTATCAACTTCTCGAGTTGTGTGATTTTATGTACTTAAGAGAAAAAAGAAGAAGAAATAGGCGTTTGCCAACCGGTTTTAGCAGATCTTTTGCATATAATCGAGAAATATTTTCAATCTCCCATGTATTACGTTTGGAGGGAAAAATGAGCGCACCATTGTAACAAATTCAATAACTTCATTTGCTGGTGACAGACACATCTTGGCAAATTTTGCTAGACCATTTATGATGTAGGCGTTTTTAGCAGAAATATTTCCATGTTCACTGGAAAGAATGATTCCCATTATATCGTTGTGAAATGAAAATTAGAACACTAATAGGAAATATAGCGGTAATATTATTTTTTTTTGCAATAAATAATATTTATTGCTTAGGTTTACATTAACTTGAGATATATGTAATGGTCAAGATAAATTACATTAAAATTATCCTGAACTTATCAATCAAGGAATCATAAGCGGGATTCACCAATTGGTTTTGATCGAGAAACTCACGTCTCACGAGTCACACTTGTTGGCTCTTTAAATATCACAATACACATATTCCCACCATTTTGTACTATGTTGTGACCGAATACCCTAAGGTATAATGTGTTGTTCCCATGTGCCACGAGTTCGGCTGGGGTTTAGCACATCACACCCGAAATGCCCACTTTATCACATTGGCTTATGACTAAATGATGATCCCTAGTATTAGATGGTGTATCGACTTCTCAAGTTGTGTGATGTTATATACATAAGAGAAAAAATAATTACACAAGGTATATGTAAGTTATATTTATTAAGGGAAAATGTTTGGTAATCCTCTGGATATTGGAAACCTATATTGGTTCCTCTATGTTGCATGTAAACTAGTTGGCCCCAACTGGCATCCTAACTTTGTTTTGTGATAGAGCTAAGCCTAGATTTTTGGGTTATGGTAAGGCCTCACATATATATATATATTTTAAAAATTTTGAGCTTGCCCATAGGCAAGCCGAAAGTTCCTAATCCTCCGGCAAATCCCAATTGAAATCAAGAAAGAGTTTATAGAACATGTTGGGCCAAGGTTTGACACATCACATATCAGGATACCCAATTCTTCATTGTGGCTTAGGACCAAAGGATGATCCCTAACATTAGATAGTCTATTGACTTTTTGACTTGTGTGATGTTATGTGCATATGAGAAAAAAGAATTACACAATAAGTTAATCATTATAATTATAAAGGAAAAAAAACAAAAAATAGACATTTGCTTACCGATTTTGGCGAATCCTTTGCATATAATTGAGAAACATGTTCAATTCCCCATACTTTGCATTTGGAGGAAAAAATGAGCACATCGTTGTAACAAATGCAATAACATCATTTGCTGGTGATAAACACATCATGACAAATTTTGCTCGACCATTTACGATGTAGATGTTTTTAGCAGAAGTATTAGTGTGTCCGCCGAAAGAAAGATTCTTGTTATATCATTGTGAAAAAAAAAGAAAAGAATATTAATGAGACATATAGTGGTACTAATATTTTCTTGACAATGAACAATATTACACAATAAGGTATAATGAATTATTCCGATATGCCACATGTTGAGTAGGGGTTTAGCACATCGCGCCTGCGATATTCACTTTGTCACATTAGCTTAGGCCTAAATGATGATCCCTAGCATTATATGGTCTACTGACTTCTCAAGTTGTGTGATGTAATTATAAAGGAAAAAACAAGAAATAAGTGTTTGCTTACTGGTTTTAGCAGATCCTTTGCATATAATCGAGAAACATGTTCAATTCCCTATGCATTACATTTGGAGGGAAAAATGAGCGCACCATTGTAACAAATGCAATAACTTCATTTGCTGGTGATGGGCAAATCGTGGCAAATTTTGCTTGATCATTTACGATATAGGCGTTTTTAGTAGAAATATTTCCGTGTCCGCTAGAAAGAATGATTCCGATTATATCATTATGAAAACAAAATTAGAACCTTAATAGGAAATGTAGCTGTAAAATTATTGTTTTGGCAATAAACAATATTTCTTGCTTAGTTTTACATTAACTTGAGATATATGTAATGGTCAAGATAACTTATGTTAAAATGATCCTAAACTCATCAATCAAGGAATCATAAGAGGGATAAACCAATTGATTTTGATTGACCCACGTCTCACGACTCATACTTGTTGGCTCTGCTACCCACTTCGGCACATGTGCTTCAGGTCAAATGATGATCCATAGCATTAGGTGATCTATTGACTTCTCGAGTTGTGTGCCGTTATAAACATGACAAAATAAACAATTGGACAAGGTATAATGAGTTGTTGCTATGTGTCACATATAAATATTTACGAGCTAGGTTATGTTTATTAGGGTAAAGCAGATGGTAATATGCTGCATATTGGAAACTCAAATGTTCCTTTATGCTACCTGTAAATTTGTTGGGCTCAACCGGTACTCAAGATAGGGTTCATCGTTAGGCTAGGTCTTTCGAGATGGGCTTAGGTAGGGCCTCACGGTCTTTTTTGAATTTTCAGGTCAAAATGTCAATGCCTGACCACTCCCGTTGGACTTGGTTGACCAACCCTTTATTATTTTTTTAAAAAATATTTTTTTCTAAGTATTTTATAACCTTTTATTACAAAAATTATAGACGACGTTAAAAATATTAACTTAATTCATAACATGTGTAAAAGGAAAAAAGAATGTTATTAATTCATGCTACACATTACATTAAGTACAAAATAAGGTTAGGGAGTGCACTTGGATGTGGAGTTGAAGTTCAATGTTGTAACATCCCACATCGACCAACGGAGAGGGGGTGATGTGCCTTATATGTACATGCCCGCCTTCATCTAGCACGAGGTTTTTTGGGAGCTCACTGGTTTCGGAGTCATAAGAACTTTCAAAGTTAAGCGAGTTGGGGCCAGAGCAATCCCAGGAAAGGTGACCCACTAAGAAGTTGCTCGTGAGTTATCAGAAACAAAATCGTGAGGGCAAAGAGGGGGCCCCAAAGCGGACAATATCGTGCTACGGCGGAGCCGATCTCGAGATATGACAATTTAGTATTAGAGCCACTATGCCGTGTGCTGAGAGTGTGCCGACGAGGACGTTGGGTCCCTAAAGGGGGTGGATTGAAACATCCCACATCGACCAACGGAGAGGAGGTGATGTACCTTATATGTACATATCCGCCTTCATCTAGCATGATGCCTTTTGGGAGCTCACTAGCTTCAGAGTCATAGGAACTTCGAAGTTAAGCGAGTTGGGGCCAGAGCAATCCCAGGATGGGTGACCCGCTGGGAAGTTGCTCGTGAGTTCCTAAAAACAAAACCATGAGAGTAGAGAGGGGAGCCTAAAATGGACAATATCGTTCTACGGCGAAGCCGATCTCAGGATGTGACAAATATCTTTTATAAGTTTTTGTTACAAATTTGTAGAACAAAATAAGAAGTTTATTAATTAATTTATCCTACATATTATATTATTTTGATTAAGTCTAAAATAATGTTAGAGATTGTAAAAAAAGGGTCAAGACGGGCAGAGCCTAAATGGGCCTAGGCTGGCTGGGCTGTGGGCAGGCCGAAAGTTTAAAATCTTAAGCCCAAGTCCTATCCAAATCAAGAGTGGGCTGAGCATTGGTCCATCGGGTCTTGGGCTACCCACTTCGCTCAGGGCCAAATGATGATCCCTAGTTTTAGGTTTGAAACTCCTATGCACTCGTGTGTGTGTGTGTGAGTAAACCCCTCCCTTCATTCTTTTAACCAAAAAAAAAAAAACAAAAAAAAAAAAAAAAAAAAAAAAAAAAAACCCCACCACAAAATTTTGAATTATAGAATGTATTTATTTTTATTTTTATAATAAGCATCCTAGAAATTAGGTTGCATGTATTGAACGTTTTGTCATTATTAGTTCAGATATCAGAAATTTCCCTTTCAATGTTGAAATATATAGGACAAAGGAGATAAAAATGCAAATATATGTGAAAAGAACATACAAGTTCAACTTGGATTGAGCCATCACATTGTTATTTATTACACTGATTGTTCCATTCGGAAGCATAGAAGACAATGTTCCTTTCCATATCTTATTTTATAAGCTAGATATATATATCTTATTGTTTGTGCCAAAATCGGGATTTACTCATTAATTTGAATAAAATTTGTCGAATTAATATAAATTTATATAGAAATCACACTACTACATTTTTCACTTTGCGCGACGAAGAAAATTTCGTCGCGCAAAATACATTATAGTCGCACAAATTCTAGCGCGACAGAAACTTCGTCGCGCAGATTCCGTCGCGCAAAGATCGTGGAGAAAGACTTTGCGCGACGAAATTTTTCGCAAAGAGACTTTGCGCGACGAAAAAATATTGGTCGCGCAAAGTGACTTTGCGCGACGAAACATATTGGTCGCGCAAAGTAACTTTGCGCGACGAAAATATTGGTCGCGCAAAGCAACTTTGCGCGACGAAAAAATATTTGTCCCGCAAAGCCACTTTGCGCGACGAAAAATATTGGTCGCGCAAAACTTTGCGCGACGAAAAATAAAAACTTTGCGCGACGAAAAAATTTTAAAATTTTTTTAAAAAAAAATTCCCTCGTCCCATTTTTAGTACCCGCCCAAATTTTTAGAGTTTTGCGCGACGAATATTAATGTCGCGCAAATATTTGCGCGACGAAATATTTTGGTTTTTGACTTTTTGTTTTATTATTTCTTTAATATTAATTTAATTATATTAATTATTTCGAATTTTTAATTTTTAAATTAAATTAAATTGTATGATTTTTTTCGTTACTTTAATTTAAATTGATATTAATTTAATTATATTAATTTATTCAAATGTTTACTTTTTAAATTTAATTTAATTACTTTAATTTAAATTGACATATTCAAAATAAAATTACATATGAAAAATAGTGATCAAATTATCCAATAAATATATATATAATATTCAAAATGTACACATAAATTAACAAAGTACAATAAATAAATAAAAGGGATAATCTCCCCTAAAATTGTTATACCACAAATCCAACCCAAACTCCAATCCCTCCCCTTTACTCAACCCCAAACCCCACACAAACTCAAAACTAACTCCAAAAACACATATTAATGAAAAAAAAATTAAAATTTGGAGAGAACTACCTTTTGGCAAGATTGAGAGTGAGTGAGAATGAGAGAGAGAAATGAGTGTGAGAGAATTAGAGAAGATAGTGATAGAGAGATGAGAGAGTGAGTGAGAGTGAGAGATAGTGAAAAGAGAGATGAGAGAGTGAGTGAGAGTAAGAGATAGTGAAGAGAGAGATGATGAGAGATTAAGTGAGAGGAGTGAGAGTGAGAGAAATGGTGAGATTTGGGGAGAGGGAAAGAGAGAGGAGAGGAAAGAGTAGAGAAAGACATTGAGAAAATGATGGAGGAGTTATTTTTATTTTAAAAACCGTATCACTTTGCGCGACGAACGACATTGTTGGTCGCGCAAAGCTTTGCGCGACGAAAAATATTGGAGTATTGGTCGCGCAAAGCTTTGCGCGACGAAAAATATATTGGTCGCGCAAAGTTTTGCGCGACGAATATTAGTATAAAAAAAAAAAAAAAAATCCCGCGTCCCATTTTTGGTACCCGCCCAAATTTTGAAATTTTTGCGCGACGAAAAATATATATTGGTCGCGCAAAGTCTAAAAAAATTAAATAAAAAAATTCCCGCCTCCCATTTTTGGTACCCGCCAAATTTTTGCGCGACGAAAATATATATTGGTCGCGCAAAGTCTAAAATTTTTTTTTTCCATCCCGCGTCCCATTTTTTGTACTCACCCAAATTTTTAAAGTTTTGCGCGACGAATTGTTGGTCGCGCAAACTTTTGAGAGACGAAAAATTGGTTCATAGCACGATATTTATAAAAATAATTGTTATGAATAATAAATTTATTTTTTTTTACGATTTAAAATATAAATAAGGTTAAAGCTACTTAATAAATGTATATACCAATTTCTTAAGTGTTATACGTACAAAATAAATAAATTTAAAGCTACTTAATAAGTAAATATATATATACACACACACCATTCAACGATCCAACCGTCAAACTTGTTTGTATATACTTCAAGATCGTATACCCCAAAAATTGTAAAAAAACAAACATTCGGAGACCTAGTAACGGGACAAAAAATTTCAACGGTTCTTAATGAAAAATCACGATTTAACGATTATTTTAACTCCGATTTTGATGATTTTTTACAGCTACACTCCTTGACCTTATATGAATACAATGAACTAATTCGATCGTCAATTTAAAATATTTACACTAGTGGATACCACAAAATCTTATGTTATACTTAACAAAAGTATAAATAAACTCTTAATTGTTAGTGAATATATTGTTTTGATGGCATACGCATTCAAAAAAACAAGTTTCAACGATCCAACCGTCAAACTTATTTGTTTATACTTCGAGATCATATACGCCAAAAATCGCAAAAAATAAACATTCAGAGATCAAGTAACGGGACAAAACTTTTCGACGGTTATAAATGAAAAATCTTGATTCAACGGTTATTTTAACTCCGATTTTGATGATTTTTTACCGCTACACTCCTTTACCCTATATGAATACAATGACTGAATTTGATCTTCAATTTAAAATATTTACACTAGTGGATACCACAAAATCTTATGTTATATTTAACAAAAGTATAAATAAACTCTTAATTGTTAGTGAATATATTGTTTTGATGGCATACACATTCTATGAAACTAGTTTGAACGATCCAACCGTCAAACTTGTTTGTTTATACTTCGAGATCATATACGCCAAAAATCGCAAAAAATAAACATTCAGAGATCAAGTAACGGGACAAAACTTTTCGACGGTTATAAATGAAAAATCATGATTCAACGGTTATTTTAACTCCGATTTTGATGATTTTTTACCGCTACACTCCTTTACCCTATATGAATACAATGACTGAATTTGATCTTCAATTTAAAATATTTACACTAGTGGATACCACAAAATCTTATGTTATATTTAACAAAAGTATAAATAATTGTTAGTGAATATATTGTTTTGATGGCATACGCATTCTATGAAACTAGTTTGAACGATCCAACCGTCAAACTTGTTTGTTTATACTTCGAGATCATATACGCTAAAAATCGGAAGAAATAAACATTCAGAGATCAAGTAATTGGACAAAACTTTTCGACGGTTATAAATGAAAAATCACGATTTAACGGTTATTTTAACTCCGATTTTGATGATTTTTTTATAGCTACACTCTTTGACCCTATATGAATACAATGAACTAATTCGATCGTCAATTTAAAAAATATATTTTCTAATAAAAACCCAATCCAAAAAACAATAATATATTTTTCTAACAAATATTTTAAAAAATATTTTATTTATTTTATTTATTTTTATAAGGACTTTGCGAGACGAAGTTAATTGTTTCGTCGCGCAAAGTAGCTTTGCGTGACGAATTGTTTTTCGTCGCGCAAAGTCGCTTTGCGCGACGAACTGTTTTTCGTCGCGCAAAGTTACTTAGAGCGACGAATTTTTTTTCGTCGCGCAAAATTTGGTCGCGCAAGACTTTGAGCGACGACGTATTGTCGTCGCGCAAAAGTTGGTCGCGCAAAGTCGCTTTGAGCGACGAAAAAAAATTCGTCGCGCAAAAGTTGGTCGCGCAAGGTTTTTAGCGACGGAGTTTTGAGTTTCGTCGCGCAAAGTGTCTTTGCGCGACGAAAAATTATTCGTCGCGCAAAATTTGGTCGCGCAAGGGTTGTTTTGTAGTAGTGTCAGCTGTTGGGCTGAATATGATGATACCTGAATACCTAAAAGGCCTTGTAAATTTCTAATCATCGTTTTCTTTTCTGGTATGAGCTAATCATCAATCAACCAAACTAATTGCTTTTTTTTCATTAACTTGAAAGCATAATTACCAGATTCCCGGCCTCTTCTCCACTAAGCTTTAATTTGTTTGTTGGTGGCTTGATATACTACTTGAACCTAATTTACTTTGATGGCCTGAGCTAGTCATGTTAGCATGCATATCCGTACTGTTCTGATAAAATTAGAGCATCTAATTCAAAACTAGTTACCAACGATTGAAGAGACCAATATATTATATATATACTCTTAGTTTAAATTAAAAGGGGGAGTGAGTTTCTCATACACACTACTAATTAAGTTTTATTGGGGTGCAAAACCTGAGAGTATTGATCTACAAATCAAAATCATTTTACACTCGGCTAGACTCTGTTGACATGTTATATATATATACTTAACATTTTTAAGGCTAACCAATTTGTTTTCTGTTGAAGGGTTTGAATGTGTGGGGGTGAGGTGTTTTCTTATGTTGCTAGAGAGAGAGAGAGAGAGAGAGAGAGAGAGAGAGAGAGAGAGAGAGAGGGAAAGATGATGATGTGATTTCGATGTTAGCACATTGCCAACAATAAACAAGGAATACTTTGGAAAAGGATCCTCTAATATATCTAAATCCTACCCCATATATTCCAACTTTAGGTTACACAAAATCTTGTTTCACTGTTTTCTTTTTGGGCTATCTTTTGAGCTTATATTGGGAACATGATAACCCCACCAAGAAATGTTTAAAATCTCCTTATAAATTTCACCCTTGAAGTTTCATAAGATGTGTTCCTGTCTGCCATAATTTGGTGGGAGAAAATGTAAGCTTCCACCTAAGCTCAAAGTGAAAGGAAAGGAAAAACTACTAATTATATTCCTCCACCCATGTCAAAGTTTGGAACATATGTAGCTTTAAAGAAAATAGCTTTTTATACTTGATGATGCCCTTGTCGGCCATGATTCCACCATCAAAAGAAACCATTCCTTTATTTTAAAAACCTTGTAGGTTCTTTATATATATATATATATATATATACTGAAGATTTTTTTTAGTGCGACATTTTAATTATTCAAAAAAATAATAATTTGTGAGTTGATTTCAATTTATAACATAATAAGTACCATTATTTGGATCCGCATATACTTTTGTGCATGCAACATAAATAATCTGTAAATCAGGCTGAAAAATGGGTGCACCATCTACTTACAAAGGTACCCACCAATGAAATAAAAATGTCCATAAAAATGCGTATATTCATGCTGAAAAATGATAGGCCTGACAGACCAAAAAAACCTACAAATCATAGGATTACTTAATATTTTTAGCAGTTTTGCAATTATTTTCAATCGCGCGCCCTTGATGAGATAATAGTGATTTTGAACATTATATATATATATATATATATATATATATATATAGTGGACCTGTGCTTGATGATCAATTCAATCGTCAGAAAGTACTACTGATATTGGTACTGTTATTTTTGCATGCTTTCCATATCCCATGGGCCACGGCCATGAAAATTCTCTGAAATAGACCTGTTTTGTGCAGCTGTTGGTTGCATCCAACTTGTATGCATATATGCTTGGGCATTTTCATGATGGGGAGAGAGAGAGAGAGAGAGAGAGAGAGAAGATATATAGTTTTTGTTACTTTTGTTGTAGGTTTTGTGCTTATACTTTGGCACCACACTGACTACTGGAAAAGGGCTCGATCGAGCTTTGCTTTTTGCTAGACAGCTACCCTTTTCTTTCTTACTTTATTTTTTTTGTTTTTGGGTATTTAATTATTGTGGTTATTATTGTGGAGGTTGATAGCATGGATGAATTCAAGTAGAATATCATTACAAACGATTGCCAATAGAGTAGACACAAATAATGACTCTACGTGCTATGTTTTTTGTAATGGTATTAATATCCTAATATTTTTCCTTTTAAATAATAATAATAATAATAATAATAATAATAATAATAATTATTATTATTATTATTATTATTATTAAAGAATTGCAATGGCATTATATATGATTATTGCTGTTATTATTTTTAGTGTAATAATTAGCAACGTGTTTAAAAAGTGATTGGAATTTCCTTTCTAGTAAAGAAATAATAAGTTGCATTGTCATTTGAACCTAAAATGCACCTTTTCATCAACTTGATCTGTTCAATTATATTTATTGGTATACAGTATAGTATTTGGTTTCTTGGTAAGATTTTGTTTTGAAGTGCAAGTTAACCAAAGTTGTTGAAATTCCATTAGTTGGGCTGAATTCTTTAATTTTGATAAATTCTTGCTTAGAAATTAATATTGTAATTAAGCAAGATACGGACTATTTTCAAATTAGCACATGTTCTCAAGTCCCTTGCTTAGTCCTATGAAATAAAAATTTTAGTCAATCAAATTCGTGATAGATAAGTATATCAACTCAGTCATTCTCTTGCTTATGCAATCCGCAACAAGAGGGTCTAAAAAGTCCACCAAGACTTGGAGATGATTAGGAATTCTTGATGCAACCAAAGTTTTGACGTAGTCCGCAAAACCATTTTCTTGTGAAAGCTTCACTCAAGAAAAACCGTACACTACTAGCCACAGATCAATCATGCTTCAGTAGGGAGTTTTTAAAAGTGTCTTTTCGGTGCATATTGAATTAAGCATGGAAGACACTCGTAGACATTCCTACGAAAGCACGAATGATTCATGACCAATGTATTTTTGTTTTACACTCTATGTTTGCAGGTCATGTGACTGGTTGTTGCAACGCTAATTGGACTTGATTAAGATATGTTTTAGTTTTTCAACACCACCAAAAAAAAAAAAAAAAAAAAAAAAATGAGCTCCTTTTGTCAATATTATTGAGTTTAAAAAGAATATCTCCACTTTTGTTATATGGGCTTATGTACTGCAAGATCACGCACTGCACTTACTTTGGATTAGAGTTTCTCCGATTAATCCCTTTTTTCACGAGCTATGAACTAAGTTTACTAACCACATGAATCGTGAATTAATAAGCAAATTGTAGCTCGTTTTAATTAAATTTTGATGAACAATTTATCCCCAAAAAAAAAACAAAAAAACGCATGGTTATCATGAAAAATGGACAGCCATGCATGCAAATGTAGAGGTATTCGCTATAGCTATGGCTCTTTTCTATGTTCATTGTTGAAGACTCCTCATTGATTGATCACATTGTTCATCTTCCTCTGCCAAGCCACGGTTTCTGTGGTCGACTGGTACACACTCTTTCCCTGACCGTGTCCTCAACAATTTGTCTGTGACGGCACCGAGAGCTACAAAATGCCCGCAACGAACTGCAATATTCACATCAACAATTAATATTATCATTATTCTCCATAATTTTTTAGAAAATTAGCCAACGTGGAAAGACTGTTATACGCAGAATCTATGCTCTAGTGATTACATATTGTTTTTTCCATGATTTTCTCAGCAACCAAACACAAACAACTATTCAACCTCCCATTTACATCTCTTTCAAAAAAGAACCAGATGTATCAACATTTGTCAAGAAAGGGGTGCCTTAATTCAATATGTAAATGGCGGAGCTATATACAACTAGGCGTACCTGTACATATAAATGTTATCTTTCTCGCTAAGGATCTTTCTGCAGTAGTTACATCTATCAAGGAAATTGCCACTCTGCCCTTGGCCGTTCTCCATATTGGGCGACCATGCCGGTTGAGACGCATCATCCTCTTCCACGGGAACTTTCTTGGGATAGCGCCGTGGCTTCATCTGCAGCCGCTGCTCCGGTGGTGGCAGCGGCAGGGGCTCGTGGAGAGAACTCAAGTCGTAAAAGCTAGTTGAGGACCGAACAAAGCGCGGGCGTTTCCCAGGCATTTTTGGTGTCAGCTTGGGGGTTTTACACAAAGAGAATAAGGGTTTTGGTCTTTTAGTGTAGAAAAAAGATTGGATTGGGTAGTAATTTGGGTGTTGGAAATGGGTTGAATGGGGAGATTTATATAATGATAGTTAGTCCTCCAACTGTATAATAATTAAGTTCTCAGGTTGAAGTCTTCCAACTGTTTACGCGGTGTATACATCTACATATATTGTTAAGAAGGGTAGGTTTTCATTTTAACTAAGAGTTGTGGTTCTATCTAGGTTAAACCCGCAAACCATACAAAAACTCTGTGTGCTATTTTTGGTATAACTAATAACCCCTCAGTCAACAAGAAAAACTAATGACAGTTTTTAAATAAATTTGTTTTTAATTCTATTATTTTGGTATAAAGTTTTTAACTAAGTTTGTTTCTAATTCTATTATTTTGGTATAAAGTTTTTAAATAAGTATGTTGTTTTTATTGCTTTCGAGTCTATCTATATGATTCACATAAATCTCTACTTTCTAGCCTTTTTTTTTCCCGTCAAATCAACTATCAAGCCTGCTTAGTGATTTTTGAAACAAGTAGATAAATATTATACCTAAATATGATTGTATACATATTGAAAGATTTGGTGTAGTTGTCTTGATACAAGCCATAGTGTCATTAGTTCCACATCGAAGTAGTAATCTAGAGTTTAAAAATAGATACTCCACTACAAATTGTACTGAGTCATTTCAAGTAGTGCATGAGGTGCTTGAAATATCACTTCCATATGTACTTCTTTCACTTTTTGTATACATACTGAGGGGGAGGAGGACACAACCCCTCCTCTAGAGGCGGAGTTAGAATCATAAAGTTGGGGGGCTGAATTAGAAAATACAAGTATATAAAACACTGAAGTATTCAATAGTTAGATGTTTAGAACTAAATATTTCTAATTTAGTCATGTCTAATTTGTTTTAGAGGGAATTTTAACTTAAATTATAAGTTGTTTATTACAAATCATATATGTTATATATAATATAATAGAGGAGAGATCAAAATATGGGGAGACCAGGCCCACTCCAGGCCTAGGAGTGGCTCCGCCATCGCCCTCCTCCCCCCTTATTCTCTGTTACTCAACCCTGTTTTGAGTGTCTTTCGAGGTTCGTCTCGGAGCATTTGGCTATACCTATAGGAGCAAATAAATTCAATGACCAATCAGGTGGCGCCACATAAAAGAGAAGCAAACCATGATCTGCTTAACTTTTAATATAAGTTTGACACATCACTAAAAGAAAGATCCAACTGTTAAAATACTGGCAAATCACCACTTTTATTATTGCTGGAAAAATAGATTTATTTATTTATTTATTTTTTTCACATATGGAAGCTAAAGTCCTGCTTTCTTTCGTCAAAAAATATGAACATTGAAGGAAGTTGAGGTTCTACTCCAAAACCAATTGGCTATGAGGGGAGTAGTCCAACTCCTTATTTTCTAGTTTCATGACAATCCATGTCCCTTTCTTTTTCCTTCCCCACTACAAATTTAGAATGTTTATCTTTTTCCGTTTGGCTAATTTGTTTTCAGATTAAATCAATATACTTCCTTCTCCGAAAAACAATAGAACCTTCAACCATAGGTACGTGTCATTACTCACAATACGAAAACGGATTCCTGATTGAGAGAAATTTGGAGAAATCCCGAAGATGAGATTGGAAATGAAATAACATAGTTTATTTGAATATCAGAGTGAGAGAAGAAAGCAAAGCGTAACCAACTTTCTTTATGATCGTGGGAATCAAAATACAATGAGAGTTCTTCGAGCTTCAGAATTTGGGTTTTGAGGGTACATATTTTTGAAGAGCCTTTAGCTTTTGTTTGTCAATTTTTTCTGCTAGCGTAAGTGACGTGTTTAGCTTTTAACCCTTGAATTGTATTTTAATGATATGGCAATCTTACATTCAAAGTCAAGCATATCCTAACAGATACAATCCAGACAAAGAATCTGGATCCGAAGTAGTATAGTTTAACAATTGTTTTTTTCTAAATTGAAATAGTTAATTAAAATAATTGAATCAAATTAAATTTGGAATGGCAGGAGTGTATAGTTAAAATTGTTTAATCAATTTCTATTTAAATATTGAGTCACTTCCTTTAATTGTTAGATGGAAAGTTAAGTGGAGGCGTGAACATGAGAGGAATTAGATATTACAACAATATTATCAATGAACTCTTACGTAATGGTAAATCATCCCACCTTGATCATGATTGAATTATCAAGAGTTACATGCAGATGCAGTCATAAAATATAATTGATTCAAAATTTTAATTTGCTTTACTCATCATGGTACATGTATAGGTATAAAGTCATTTGTCACACTCTTTCATTGGGATCTTTCTCAAGCTTTAGAAGACAAATATGGTGGTTTCTTAAGCCCTTGTGTAAGTAAACACAATTTATGCCCTGAATATTATTGGTCATCTAATTAAATACATATTACTATAACATACACATCTTGTAATGGGTAAATACAACAACCATTTTCGGGACTGTGCATATCTTTATTTTAAGGAATTTGGTCGAGTAAAAAACTTAATCACGTTGAATGAGCCATATACCTACAGTAACAATGGTCATGCAACTGGGGCCTTCGCACCTGATGTGAAATTGGTACTTATGTGATGAGGGGTAAAATTACGCTACTCAAACAAACACAGCAATCTTCACACACTTTAAACTTGACCAAACATACTTATGACTAGTCAACTACTAGTCATGAAAAACCATTACCAAGAACACACAAACAGAGCATACCAATCTGTACCTACAAGCTTAAAGATTACTAGTGACAACCTAAGCACTCAGAATTTCTCGTCAATCTAGGCATCCTCTGTACTAGCAACAACTATGGTGAAAGTGTGTGAAGGCATTATAATCAAGTAAACACCAAACATCAGATAATGATGACTAGTCAACCGCAAGAAAATAAACCCAGAAATACATGAACATCATGCGATGACTAGGTTCACCTTCTTCTGCTACATAATTCACTCGTGCATCTACTTGCCTCCTAGGATAATTAGCGAAGCGATGACCAGGTTTACCATACTTGAAGCAAGCACCCGGGTTACAGTAGTTATGATTAGTGGCTGACTTTGGAGCAAACTTTTCAGTTTTCTCATTTTTATAGGTGTTACTTGTGGTAGGTGGACATTCACCCTTGGAAGAGGATAAAAGTTGCGTACATCAACAAATTTCTTTGTCGCACGACGAGTGAGTTGGGTTTCAATCTTCAATGCTAGTTGGTACCCATCAGTGACTTTCCATAGTTGGTGCACCTCCATTTCATCCTGAATTGGGATTCTTAGTCCTCCAACATATCGAGCAACCAATTGTTCTTCAGTTTCTTGAATATCAATACGGGCCAAGAGTTAATAAAACTCTTCAGTATATGCCTGCACACTCTTTGATTCTTGGTGGAGATTATTAAGTTGAGAAAAATTGGTTTGAACAAAATCCACGGGCAGAAACTTCTCTGAGTCTGGACTTCATCTTGTCCCAAGAAGATATTTTAGATTTGCCCTTACGAAGCCTCATATCCTCTGCCTTGTCCTACCACACTAAAGCATAACCACGAAGTCTTAGTGCCACAATCTTGATTCTTTGTTCTGCTGGTGTCTCTTTATAGTCAAAATACTTCTCAATGGAACTAAGCCACTCACAGGATGAAAACGACCATGAAATTCTGGTAGTGCAACCTTGAAAGAATCATGATAATTCCTTCTATAGTGCCCGAAAGGATTCACCTCACCTTCATCACTGGAGGACCCACCACTCTCGCTGCGGGCTTCTTGGCGTTTGAGATGTAATGTCAGCTGCTCAACTTGTCTTCGAAGTGCCTGAATTTCTTCATCTCGCTCATCCCTAAAATCGTGGTCCCCCATATGGTTTCCACGCTTTCCTCTACCTCTTCTAGCTGCCATTAGAATGGTAGCAGCCCAAGAGCGTAGCAAAGCTCTGGTACCGAATGATGAAACACAAAGTGCTGATGCTAAATAGCTAGAAATTACATGAGAGCAAAGCTCTGGTACCTAATGATGAAACACTGCCAATGCGAAATAGCTAGAAATTACATGAGACGCTCAAAGAGAAGGAGTCTTTGTTGTTGCTGTTGCAGTGCATTCATCAAAGTGTTTCCGTACTGCGTTTGGCCGGTCAAGGCCACGTTGAGTAGTGTTATGTTCTGGTGACCTTGGTAAAACTTTGGCAGTGTCCCTTGGCAAAGCTTCATGTTTGTATACCACACGCTCAACCGGCCACTTTGCTCGTAGTGAATTCCGAATATATTTTTTTTTGGGGGGTTATTGGCTGTTATCTTCACGTCAAATTTAACATATAGAGTCATGTCCAAATTGAGCCTTAGATTGCTTATTTTCAAGGTATCAACCGAGTAATATGGAAGTTTTGGCTGGAAGATAAGGTAGAGAATGCCAGCAGTGGCTCCTATTATGATCAATACAAAGACAAGGGATGCCTATTGTGCAATACATGCACCTGCTCCAACAAGCACATGTTCGCATGGATATTAACCGGAAGGCTACTACGTGCTTGTAATTGTAAAGGGTGATGCTCCTGCTGATCAATCTCCTATTTCTGATCTTTATCAAACTTTTCTTTCTCTGTTGTTGTTGTTATTGATGAACCGTGTTGGTGTCCCTGTGGCTGTGACACTACCAGAGGCACAGGCATGGTGGTGGGTGGCGCTTCCACATCCCCAGCAGGATGAACTCTCTGATGATCACCCTTCTCTCTCTGTTATTTTAATTAGCTTTCAGTCACAACTAACTGCGATCATCGGTGATATTGATAGTAGTCTAGATAGATAGAGTAACTGAGAAAGCATTCTTAGTAACTCATGGATATAAATAGAGATTTTGAAGTTTGAATTAACATTTCCTTCCTAATAGAATTTGCGTATGTGTTCTGCTTCCTTCCTAGGATTAGGATAGGACCTTTTTGGGAGAAAAACCAAAAAGGTTTGAACTGATCACCATCCTCACCTACTCACAACAACAAATACAACGCCAAGTACCGTCTATCATTATCATACATGTGATATGGTATGGTAGTTCAGCTAAGTTATAATAAGAAAGAAGCATACACTTAACACATACTTGAACTGCCACATTTGCTTGTCTGTTATAAAAGCTCTAGTTTTGAGACACTTGCAACTTAACGTGCTCCTACGAAATTCCAGGAGTTAGCTAGCAAAAGCAAACACTTCAAAATTGAATGAGAGAGATATTGAATTTGAACCCATTCTTTATTTTTTTATTTTTTTATCAAAAGAAATAGCGTTCCCCATCTGAACTTTAATTTGGATTTAATTAAAAGGCTTAAATGTCAAAATGGTCCTTATGTTTTACCATGTTGGCCAATTTAGTCCATGTGTTTTCAATTTAGCCAATTTAGTCCCATATTTAGCATTGTTAGCCCCATTAAGTTTACTGTTAAATAAACATTATACACCTTTTTTTTGTGATTTAAAAACCTATAAAGCTTTTTAAAATTAATAAAAAATTGAATTAACTTAAAAACATTAAAACATAACATTTGAAGGAAAAAAAAGGTTATTTGCCTTCATCTCTTAGTTAGTTTTTACATAAAAAGAAATCATGGGTTTGGCGCATGTCACCATTTCCAAGGGTGTGGTAGTCATTTTACACCATAAACACCAATGAGGTCTAGCTCAGTGGCAAATGGTCTTGACTTGCAGATTATAAGTCGCAGGTTCGAACCCCCATGACATCAGTTGTGTGTGGGTATCTATGAGAAATCCCCCTCCCCTTTAATTTAGACTATCGCTTATACTTAACAAAAACTAAAGAAAGGAATCTCTCTCTCTCATGTTAATTTGATACTTCACGTTGCACGTATGACCAAGAAGATTGAATTAAACTGTCTTCTCAAATCCCATAGAATGCTAGTGTACATGCCCATAAGTACTTTAAGAATAGTTTTAACATAGTAACAAACAAGTAATACGGCGGGTTATGTGAGATAGGCTTGAGCTTCCAGTAGATTGCCCACAGATAATCCTACTCCATAAATACCCACTTTCAGAATTCAGATGAAACTTACTTTATTTTATCAGAACAATATTGTACAATAAACTCTCTCACGTGTATCCAGGCAAGGCAACTTCAATATGACAGAAGAAGAGAAATTACTTTTTGCCATGTGGATGACACAACGCAAACACTTCCCTTCTCTCATGAGATTGAAAGCTTTGTTGACATCTTCAAATGGCAGGTTATGCGTTATGTACTCCTCGACTTGGATTTCCTGCAGGTAGATTTTTTGGAATTCAAACAGGATGTGCATTTTATTTTTTGAAAACTTTTATTTTTTTCTTAAACTAGAAGAATAATCATGATCGGTCAATGGGAACATGTTAGCTGTTTAAAACAGAGATCAACTGTTAACATGAAATAAAACAAAAGAATTTAGCATCATACTGGCTGCAAATTGGCATGCTTTCTTAGCATACACACCTTTGAAGCTGAAGAAAGAAATAGTTTAACACAGAAGAAATAACAGTGAGAAGGATTAGGAGGAACTTGTTCTAGATGGTTTATAAATTCAACCTAAGAATTTGATACTAAACGAAATTCAGATTATAACCCTACTACTTCAAACAAGATGATTTGATACGTTTGTACATTAGACATTTATCAAACTAAGACATGATAAATTGTTTGGGCATGCCCTATCGCATTCTTGTAACTAGGACTAAACATTGTCAGTAGATTTTCCAGCTACACGAGGAGGGAAAAGGACACTTAATATTAGAAGGGAGATTGGACTTATCGAAGCTTCAATGAAGTTTTAGTTAGTATTACCTTTTTTGTGTACATATCTACTAATGAAGGGAGATCAGATTTAGGTTTCCATCCTCCAAATAGAGATCCCTTCAACGTTCTTCCAGTAAGAAATATTCCATAATGAGCTGTTACCTCCGGCTTCACTTTTGGCACACCAAGTGTAACTGTCAACCCCCATCCCTTCAAAGAAACGCCAGATCCAAATGAGTGAAGTTCAATAAATAAGAACTCATCACATGCACAAAAATAAATATGAGATAGGCTTAGGGGAAAAAGGAAAACACTGAGATATGAGAAATTTATATCGCAACATGCCTGCAAAGCAGTAGTTACCATTCCAGTGTCACCTATACATTCAAATGAGTAATAATCAGCCCCTCCACCTGTCAGATTCTTAATAACCTGAAAGAAAGTTAGCTTATATGTAAATTTCAAACTAAATGACTTCAAGTTCATTCATCATGGTTCCTTACACATATCACTGTTGCATTATAAGATTCACTATATCACCAGTGAGATAGAAATTCCAATCACCTCATTCAATTTACCACCAAATAATCCCGCATCAGTTATGCATTTATCTGAGCTATATGTGTATGTATGCATTTATCATATGCATGTATTTACATAAATACAGTGAAAGAATAAATGGTCATGGTATCATGTGATTTGATGGCAATATCATGATTTGAAACTCTACCTGCAGCTACTCCACAACTGAGAAGGCATACTTTCTCCAGAGGCACAACTGAGCTGATTTTGACAGCACATCCCGAGTGCACCACAGTATATTCACTGAAACTTGAAACTGCACAATAATGATAAATGGGCTCCCCATTTATGGAGAAGCGCGTCCTCTGATCACAGTGCATTACACCTCTCCTTTCCAGCCCCAGTACTACACATATGTTGCTTTTACCTGATGTGCATTGCCTGCATTTCCCGCACACTCCAATGAAGACTGTTAGCACATGGTCCCCTTCAGTAAACTCAGTAATTCCCTGCCCAACACTCTCGACAATCCTGAAATAGCTATTGGGAACTTATATCACCTGAAGAAGTATAGCAAATTAGCAATAATAATATAATATCACAGCACTGTGGAGTAGTTGATCATCCTCACTCTACAAACCATTCAAAGCTTATTGATATTTTCTCTACGCCTTTTTGTATTTCTTATATAAGTGAAACTGTCCTTTACTTCAAACCTAAGGAAATAAGTTTTGGTGCTGTAGTGTATCACAAAAGCAACAGTTCAGTATAGCATGGTTATCTTCAACACACTCTGATTGTATCACTCCTACCTAGAACAATGCTTGGCTCTTCACCAGTGTGGATGAAGGTAATCACCGGGGAGTACCATATTAAATTGTTGTTAACTATAATCATTGAATGTTGCAAAGATAATAGGAGAAAATGGTGAGTGTGACACCTCAGTAGGAAGGAAAAAGTATTCTCATGAATAGCCTGCAAAATAACAGGGGGAAATGGAGTATGATAAAATACCAGTATTCTCATGAATAAATTCAGCACCCTTTTTCCTAAGTTCTTATCAGGGAAATATAACTGCATTGAAAGAACAGCGGTGTGGATGAAATAGGAGTATTCTCCTGCTTCATGTGATGATGTGAGGGAGAAGGTAGAAGATGCTCTTTAAGGAGAATCCATGTTCAGTAACCATCAAGGGGTATCCATAAATAATCCTATGTTTGGTATCAAGTATCAACATGCATAGATAACTTTTTTCAGTAAGATGAATAGTCAGTTGATACTTAGCTCTTGATATATCTGAATTTTGAAAAATTTAAACAGGATATTAATTCATGGATAAGTTCATTACTTTTAACCAAGGTTTACTTCTTCTCAGCCACTTTAGTGACTAATCTTGAACGATTGTTTTACCAGAAAATTAATCCATCCGGAAAGAAGAAAGCATATCTGGCAGTGGCACAAACAAAAATTTTAATTTTTCTTGGTCAGACAGAAACCATAAGTAATAGTTAAACGAATTTTCCCAGCCAGATAATGATTATTTTCCTAGATGTTCAATAAGTAGGAAACAAGAAAAAAGGAATTGAAGGAAAAGTAATATTGTTTTATCTCTATTTCTGTTGAAAAGAAGAAGAAAAGGAAGGGGGAAAAGACGACAAAATAAGAAGAGGAGCGTACCAGAGACTCCCAGGCAGTGATGTCGCTGCGAAAGAGAGAGGTACAGACGACTTTGATCCTTATCTCCATTGCCTGTGGTGGATTCACATTCACTTCCTCTATCACCAAAGGCTTTCCAGCTCCCCATGCCACCGCAGCTTTTACAATTTCTTTTTAAAAAACAAAATAATACATGATTAATAACTATAATTAGAAGCAAATTCCATATTCATACTGTGAATGTGAAGATTGCAGCAAGCATGCGTTGTAGAAATAACATACATACCTTCGCAGGTGATGACATCGGGTTGTTTTACGCAAGGCAATGACATTTGCATTTGTTGCGCAAAGCTTGTCTGTCCTGAATTAATATTCCGAAGACAAGACAGACAGACAGTCGACAGACAGACAGCGAACAATCAACAAAGAAGAACCAGACGAGGGGGACGACGAGGTTGGCTGGAGTGAGCGAGCAAAGCAATTGTCTTTAGACTCTCCTCTTTACAAGTCAACAAATAATCTGTAGCTGTAGTCTGTACAAAAGCGGGGTTGGTGGGTAAAGATTTTCTTCACCTAACCGTTGCATAGGGATAGGTTTTCTTCCCCATATGAATCAGACCCACCTTGGCACCCAGACCCTAAACCCTAAAGAACCAGACCGACCCTGGCACCCAGATCTACCTAGCGCCGCCTAGACCCGCCTAGCCCCGCCTAGACCCGCCTAGCCCCGCCCAGACCCGCCTAGCCCCGCCCAGACCCGCCTATCCCCGCCTATCCCCGCCTAGCCCCGCCCAGACCCCCCTAGCCCTGCCCAGACCTGCCTACCGCCGCCTAGACCCTCCTAGCACCGCCTAGACCAGCCTACCGCCGCCTAGACCCTCCTAGCACCGCCTAGACCCGCCTACCGCCGCCTAGACCCGCTTAGCACCGCCTAGACCCTCCCAGCACCGCCTAGACCCTCCCAGCACCGCCTAGACCCGCCTACCGCCGCCTAGACCCGCCTACAGCCGCCCAGACCCTCCCAACACCGCCTCGACCAGCCTTGCAGTGCATAAGTGTGAAAAATCGCTAGGCAGTAGGCTTAAAGAACAAAAGAAAAGAACCAGACCCACCCTGGCACCCAGACCCGCCTAGCGCCGCCTAGACCCGCCTAGCGCCGTCCAGACCCGCCTAGCGCCTCCTAGACCTGCCCATGCCGCCTAGGCCGATTTTTCGTAATGCAGAGTATGGATTGGAAGGAATGGTTTCAACAAGAGGGGATATTTGCTTCCAAGGTTGGTAAAGTACGTAGATTCTGTTGCCCTCAGTGTAGGACACTAAGCATATCTATAGGTTTTTTTTTTCTTCTTCTATATATGTAGGAAACGAAAAAATTGTAGAAATAGCGAAACAAGCACAGTAGACATTTGTGAGAACCAACCAACCCTAGTCTGCAATCTGCATTAAGTCCAAACAGGGTTAAGCCTGTCCGAAAAAATTCGAGTTTCATTGACATTATGTTTGATGATTTTTGCTCCCTTATATATCTATGGTTAATCGTGGTTTAATATATATATATATATATATATATATTTTTTTTTTTTTTGTATTATCCTGCACTAATAACCTTTAGGACTGGTATAGGGTTGTTCCTAATAGTCCTTCTGAACGCATGATGAACCTTCCAACCACTAGAAAACTGGCTTTGAAGAATAAGGTTATTTTTGGTACTAGTGATTACTGGTGTGCTCCAACTGTAACGGCAAATATGGCATTTGTGAGAGCAATTTCACAAACTGGGATGTCCTTGTTTACCATTGAGCATAGACCTCGGGCTTTGACTGGTGATTAGTTCTATGTTGTCCTCAGATTAAGAAGTGAAGCATGCTCCCATGGATGATGATATCAGGTATAGTTAATCCACGTTAACAATTGAAGTGATTGAATCTGTATCTATTTTCATTAATAGCAACCTTTACACTTACAGAGAAACAAGCAAACACATTCATTATCCATTCTAACTGTTACATCAAATGTGTGTTGAAACTGATTATAGGATTATTCTCTAGAGTTTTGTGAGAGCAATGGTTGGTTGCAAGGGTATGCAACTTTTGATGAATTGTTTCCTTCAGTCTGCAAAGTGGCTGAATTTAATTTCACACATAATTGTGGCTGCTAGTAGTAAACAGATTCTTGAAGAAATGAAAGGTAAATATTAATGCCATATATTATTTTCAAATCCTTCTGATTATTTCCTAGGCCAGTTTAGCTTGAAGTGATTTTCTTAATAGATGCCCTTTAAATGCACATTAATTTTGTTTTGTTTTGTTTTTTTCTTCTGCGGTGGCAGTTAATTTCGTACGATTTGGAATTAATGAAAGTTCAAGAAATCGGAGTCCTGCAAATGATACAACGAATAACCCAAGTTTCATATGGGAATGGGCTATGGTTTATGGAATGACTGAGTGGCCACTTCTTGCTATATTGGGGTTTGATCTATGATGAGCTATTCCAGAGAGAACGTAAATTTAAAAAGAAAATTCATTATTTCCTCTGTAGGTCATTGAGGGATTTGAAGATCTGCTTCCAGCTGAGACTTGAACTGATCAGAACTCCTAGTGGTTTGTGACGCCCTTATGTTCCAGTCATTTGGGTACATCTATGAGACTCTGTGTTCTCTGATCTTTCTAGTTATAAAACTCAAATTGTTGACGGACATGCCACTGTCATTTAAACCCTAAAATAATGTAGGTTTGTAAAACAGTTTTTATGTGTGTTTCTTTAGCCACGCAGTATTGTGATTGATGAAACACAAAGTGATGATGCGAAATAGCTCGAAATTACATGAGACGCTCAAAGAGAAGGAGTCTTTGATAATAGAAAGAGCATAGCTCTGTTTGACATTCCAATTGAAATTCTTAATAATTGATCCCCTTCACAATAGCCTACAGACTCTTATTTAAGCTAAAACAGAAGCAAATGAAAGGACTCAAATATTAACTAAGATACATGTATCATGCATCTAAATGTATTCTCCTGCACCACCCAAGATTTCTTGACTTCCCAATTACACCAATAATAGATCAGTCATTAAACAACTCCCTTAGTGCACTGCATCATACTCCCCCTGTGAGAAGAAACTCGCCCTCGAGTTTGAATTGAATTCGCCAAGATATTCAGACAAGTCTTGCACATTAAAAGTAGGATGGGTACGGATACTCGAAGGCAACTCAATTTTGTAAGCATTGTCATTGATCTTCTCCAAAATTCGACATGGACCAATTTTCTTTTCCTTCAATTTATTATAAGCGCCAGATGGAAAACGCTCTTTTTTCAAATAAACCCCGAACAAGATCACGTTCACGAAATATCTTCACACGTCGATGAGCATTGGCAGCTTCGCTGTACTTCTCATTGCTTTCCTCGAGTTTCTTCTTCACATCCTCATGAACCATTGCCATTGAAACAACAAAATCTTCTGATTTCTTGCGGGTTATTGTAGGATTAGAAATGGGAACAAGATCGAGATAGTGGCCTGGAGTTTTCCCACACACAACCTCAAATGGAGTCTTTCTTGTAGAACAATTTACACTCGAGTTGCAGGCAAATTCTGCTTGAGGAAGTACTGAATCCCATTGTTTTGGCTTCTTCGCGGACAAACTCCTAAGTAAATTGCCCAATGTTCTATTCACAACCCCAATTTGCCCATCCGTTTGAGGGTGGTAGGCACTACTATAAGGCAAATTAGTACCAATTCTCTTCCACAAATGCCTCCAAAAATGGGAGCTCCCAAAAATGGCTATATAGGAAGCATCCATTGTTTTCTTGCATGGAATGAAATGAGCCATTTTAGAGAAACGATCAACAACCACAAAAATAGAATCATTACCTCGCTGGGTTCTTGGCAAACCAACTACAAAGTCCATGCTTATATCATGCCAAGGGGCTGTAGGAACGGGTAATGGCATGTATTTTCACATCCCAGGATCGGCTGCGTTGTAGCACCATATTATCTGCTTTATGACCCCCTTTCTGCCCTCACGGTTTTGTTTCTGGGAACTCACGAGCAACTTCTCAGTGAGTCACTCATTCTCGGATTGCTCTAGCCCCAACTCGCTTAACTTCGGAGTTCTCATGACTTTGAAGCCAGTGAGCTCCCAAAAGGCCTCGTGCTAGATGGAGATGGAGATGGAGATGGAGATGGAGATGGAGATGGACATGTACATATAAGGCACATTACCCTCTCTCTGTTGGTCAACGTGGGATGTTACAATCTACCCCACTTAGGGGCCCGACGTCCTCGTCAACACACGCACCACACTGCATAGTGGCTCTGATACCAAATTGTCATATCCCGGGATCGGCTCCGTCGTAACACAATATTGTCCGCTTTGGGCCTCCCTCTCTGCCTTCACAATTTTGTTTTTAGGAACTCACAAGCAACTTCCCAATGAGTCACCCATCCTTGGATTACTTTAGCCCCAACTCTCTTAACTTCGGAGTTCCCATGACTCTGAAGCCAATGAGCTCCCAAAAGGCCTCGTGCTAGATGGAGGCGGACATGTACATATAAGGCACATCACCTCCTCTCCGTTGGTCGATATGGGATGTTACAATCCACCCCCCTTAGAGGCCCGACGTTCTCGTCGGCACACTTGCACCACACTGCAGATAGGCTCTAATATCATTCTGTCACATCCTT